GACGCGGATGACAAACGACTGTAAAATATCAAATTGTAATATTTTAATACTGATTTGCAGATGTGCATAATTTTAACATATAGCTGGTTATAAAAGGGAAAAAAAAAGAAAAGAGGTGAGCGCGGATTGTAACTGATGCTGATATTGCGTGGGACATGGTGTGTATCCGTGTCGATGGAGAAGAACAATTGAACGAATAAAGAGGGAGGAAAAAATGATGGGAAAAGGAAGCAAGGGAAAAAGATGGAAGAAGCGGAATATCTCTCGAGAAGGATCATGACATGAATTTCCTGTGTTGTACTGCTAGGGGAGTTATGATAGTTACACGAGAAGAAATGTTTGTTTTGTATATCTCTTAGGGATAAATAAACTTTTCAAAAAATACATCTCATCTAACTTCTCAGAAACATCATCGAATCTTTCTCTATCTCTCTCTCTCTCTCTCTCTCTCTCTCTCTCTCTCGACGACGGCTTTTCCTTCTTCGTGACTTCGGTTCCCGAACGAATTTAATCGGAGAAATGTACAGGCTATCGTTTGCTGCTCGATTTGTATTAATTCGAAAGTATTCGAAATTACGTGCGACACATAATCTTCAACAGAATAGTATCATTTACTTCGCCAGATGATAATTAACACAATTAAGACTTTCGCAATGAATGTAATTATTTGATTAAGATGCTAATGTATAAGCATCTAAAATCACATCTATTTTAACTATTTTAAGAACGACCAGAATCCTTGGTCGAAACGCGGTGACGATTTTTCACGAAAAAGATTATAATCGTTGCCACGATTATAATCATTGCCAGTATATATTCGATTAAATTTCTTAATTGTGATAATCTTCAACGTTTATTGTGCTGCATGGGGAACGAAGGGAGAGAAATTCTCGTAAACTTTGCATCTGGGGATAATTCAAGTGAATTAATTTCATGCTACGTGTACTTAATCGACTTGAATTTAAATCGAACAATATAAATTTAATAATTTTTAAGCGTCTCATTGAGCACACGTGGATTGTGCAAAAATCGTGAGCGATGTAAATTCTATAATTGTAACATAAATGGAATGGAATCAGATTGCGACGTTCGATTATTTTATTCCAGAAACGCGAAAAAAATGGCGATCCATCAAATTTTATTTGTTTCGAATTGGTGGGGACTTTAACCGTCGGTTAAGGCCATTGCACGTAACAAAGTTTTAGTCATAATCGTAAGGCCATAAGAAAATAGACCACGCACACTCGATTATTCTTCGAGCTCAAGGAGAATAATCGACTGTGAGTGGTCTATTTTCTTACGGCCTTACGATTATGACAACTTTATGTTACGTGCAATGGTCTTTAAGGTCTTTAAGCTAACCGTGGTCGGTGAAAATGGCCGCGTTCAGCAGACACAACTGTTGAGTTCGTCTTATCAACACAATACGTTGATTGGTTGGCTCTAAAAGTAAGAGCCAATCATGTTCGAATGCTACTGAGCGGCTTAGTCTGCTGAACGCGTCCATTGGCCCTCAGTCTAGAACGGGCACAAGTTTCCACGTATGGTCTCCAGTACCCACCAGTGGCCAGCCACCAGTATGGTACCTGTGCTTGCACTGCTCGCAGGTTCGCTTCGCAGTTCGCAGCACCCGCAGCCTGGTACGTTATATAGAAGTCTGTAGAAGTGTGTACTTGTTTTTTTTTTTTATACAGAAAAAATCAAACTCGCTTTACATAAATAATTGGTGAGTATAAAATCGATTAGTTTTTCCGATTAATTGTTAATTCAGCTTCCGTCAAAGTTTCGATCATAATTTTCTTTATTCGCTATATTCATATATATGTTTGACTTATAATCGCTATTGCATATATTGATATATTTTAAAATATATTAGTGATAAAAAAATATACAATATTCTTAAAAAATATTAGTTACTTAGAAAAGTTAAACGTAAGTACAACGATGAGTAATTTTTGCAATTTTTCTCGTTCCTTCTTTGGTGCTCACGTGGTGATAAATAAACACAGAGAGCACTTGCTCACGATATCTCAGATTTAAAAAGAAATATTTCCATATTTTATTTAAATTATTTAAAGGAACTTTTTTCTTTAAAATATTTAATTATTTAATAATGATATACATTAAAATCTAATTTTACTTTGGAAAAAAAAGAACATGTGCTTGTAATATTTTAAATGCAAAGAAAACTTTCTTTATTTTGTAAGAAAATTGTAAGAAACTGTTCTATTTCTTAAAGAATTTTGATTATTTAAAAATGATACGCTGCCGCCTTTATATGCTTCATAACTCTACGAAGCTAGCCGACAGAAATTACTAAATTTGATTAGTTTTAAATTTTCTAAGTGTATTTCGTTTGTAAATCAAGTGTATTTCGTTTGTAAATCCTGTCACTGACTGCGCTAGGTCAGAGTTTATCTTTTTTACTGTATTAACTGTATATTGGAAGGGAAAAGAAACTCTGACCTAGCACGGCCAATTCAGTAATAGAAAACGGACCCTTATTTGAAATCTGTTTGTTTATATCAGTGCTATTTGTCTGTGCGCTCTGGCTAGGCGTGTGTTAAACTTTCACTTATTTCAAAATTGTACATTTGCGTGTTTATTTTGAATTGTTATACGTCGATATGAGAAAACATATGGATCTTTTACATTAGCTTGATGTTACTTCCAACGAGACGAGAAAGGGATATTTCAAATAAGTCATTCTTTTAGAATAATCAATCATGAAACAGGATACCGCATATATGAAATTGCCTCTGGAGGAGCGCTGTGCGCACAAGGTACTGACCACATTCAAAATATTTGTTGCATTTTTCACATCCTACATTTGTCAAGTTATAATTTTTTCACTAATTAATTCAGTGAACATATTGCAAACTTAATCGTGATTGAACAATCTACAATATTTTAATCTGGATATATAAACATATAAATAAATTTTTATTTTAATGTCAAATGTAGATACTGTAAATACAAGAAATTAATACCTTTACAATAAGTTCAACGTATCAGTATAAGTAACTAATATTCTATACGATATTGCGTAGTCCTGGCGAGCACGCTTACATGGATATGAGGAGTGCGTGAAGACGTTCCAGTGCATCGATGACGAGAAGTCCCCAGAGTGGAACAAGTACATTGGCTTCATCAAGAAGTTCATGGCAGATTGTAATGCAGCCGCGCAGGAGAAGGGTCTGGAAGCGACCCTGGCTTTTGTGGAGAATGCCGCGATCGCCAGCAAGATAGTCATCGAGGTGATGAACGGCATCGTGTCCAAATGCATCGCCGCGCCTAAAGCCAAGACGAAGGAACTGGCTGTGCAAATTACGCTGATGTATATCGAGATCAAGAAGCACGAGGCGGTGCAGGAGGAGCTGTTGAAGGGCACCGAGGCAAAGAATCCGAAAATCGTTTCGGCGTGCATTGCCACTTTGACGCTGGCGCTCAAGAAGTTTGGACCTAAAGTGATCAATTTGAAGCCACTGATGAAGAAGATGGCAAGCTTTCTAGAAGACAGGGACAAGAGAGTGCGAGAGCAGGGCAAAGCTATGGTGGTGGAGATGTATCGATGGGTGGGCGATCGCCTGAAGCAGCAGTTGAACACATTGAAACCGGTGCATATCACGCAGCTTGAGGCAGAGTTTAGCAATCTCGCCGATGAGGAGGTGGTGCCTACGCGCTATTTACGCTCGCAGAATCCGAAGAATATGGTCAACAATGGCGATTCAGAATTCTCGGATATAGATCCGTATGATCTATTGTCGCCTGTAGACATTCTGTCAAAGCTGCCGAAGGACTTTTATGAAAAAGTTGAGGCGAAGAAGTGGCAGGAACGGAAGAAGGCGCTGGAAATGCTGGAAACGCTCGTCAAGAATCCAAAACTGGAGAACGGCGACTATGATGACGTGGTAAGGGCCTTGAAAAAAATTATTTCAAAGGATACTAATGTGCTGGTGGTCACGCTCGCGGGGAAGTGTCTGGCTGGTCTGGCCGCGGGTCTGAAGAAACGATTTCAGCTTTCTGGCTATATCTGTTTACCTATCATCCTGGAGAAGTTCCGCGAGAAGAAGCAATCAGTGGTGCAGGCATTGCGGGAGGCTGCCGATGC